AAATTGAGGTAAAACTTCACTTCCTAGTATTTCTGACTCAGTGCACTTTGCATGGATTGCCACTAGGGGGCACTAGTTGTTCATAAGCATGACTCAGAGGCAGTGACAGGCTGGACCAAGGACAGTGTCCCATCTGTACATTAATTTTAATGAACTCATCTTAGGATAATAAAAATACCATCATTACCTCCATGTAAGCCTTCACACCTACGTCTCCATTCTAATCTTGAATTAATCTCTGTTATCTACAGGCTGTCAGGCTCAGCAGCCTTAATTCAGACAACTACTGAATAACAACACAGAATCATTCATTTCCTTCCTTCCTTTCGACTGAAGTCTTCACCCTAACAGTAATGGATTTGTGTTTATGGCGGCCTCCAAACGTGATTGTGCAAACAGTTTCAGGTCCTTACCTCATCTGATCTCGGGGGCATGTCCGTCAGAGCCTCCTGAGCTGTTTTCACTGCAGGAATCCACATGGAACACAACAGAGAAGAAAACAGGTCGTTTCGGTGCACATAGAGAAGTTTTTCCGAGAAATTTCTCTTTGAGAGATGAACTTTATGAACCTGGGAAACTTAAACAGAGCAGAGTCTTGAAAACCTCATAAGGAAAATCGATAATCATCATCTGCAGGCGCCCCGTGGAACCGTTTTCAGATGTACTGAGTCAATTCCTCAAACATGAGCAAAGCTGATTTTCATCCTCACTCTCTCTCCCTACCTACCTGTCATTTAACGCTCAATATCTAATCAAATCAAAACTGTAACACATGCCACAAAGCATTTACATTTTTTCTACAAAAAGTTTTTCTGGAAAACAAAGTTCACTTCTTATTGGACTAAAAGTATCCCACTGGTCCTCTGCAGCTCTCCAGACCACCGTCTACATCGGGGGCGTCACAAAAACTGAATTATCCACAAATTTCCATAAGTAACCCCCAAACATAAAACCCCCCAAACATGCATACATGGTGGCTGGAGACTGATCATAATTATTGACCCTGCAAACCTGAACAGACAGGTCTTTGACCACTCGCAGGCTGTTGGCTACTTCAAAGCAAGTTTGGTGATAAAGCGGCAATAAGACGGCGCCAGTGCTACCAGTCTGTGACTGAATGGGGGTCCGGGTGGCAATTAACTGTGATAAATCAGCAAATATCACAAACATGTATCATTAACACAGAAATTCACATTGACTGCTTACATTCAGAGTCCAGCCTGAACCTCATAGATATGAAACTAACTTCCTCCACAAATAGTGACGTAGTTGCTGCATGCAAGTCAGGGGCAGTCTCCATCCATGCTTTCATATAACCAGGCTACAACCAGCTCGTCCCTTTCAGACAGGGGACTCAAAGAGACGAGTCACAGATAATTTACGCTCATCCGTGCAGACTGACTCATATCGATTGAAACATGTCGGCAGTCAGTCAGAAACTGCTGGCAAAGCTTCACAAATCTGTCTGACAGTCATTCTCAGCTTGACTGCAACTGTTGCCTCCCATCAGGTGACCTGAGACGTGCAGAGGTCGAGGGCGTTGGACTCTTTCATAATGTCAGGTCTGAATCCAGGCGAGCCCATGATTTCTATGCCATAAAGCGTTTGTTCATAAAACATGAAACGTTCAGTCTGCTTTACTTTTAATCCTCTGAGATATAAGTCATAACCAGGGATGCCTTTTGACCTCCAGAGGGCTTATTGTTAGGTTCTACCTACCCCTTTAAAAGGAGTTTCTCCTGTTTGGCACTCCCAGCTGGAAATCTTTGAACAAAAACCTGTAAGGCTGACAAGTAACGTCTAGTTTCTGAAACTAGGAGTGTTTAGACTAACCCTAACCCTCTCTCACAGTGGTTTTAAGGTGACCTTATTTGGGGTTCATATCTTCCTAAAACACACTTAGCGCACACAGAGCAGAAGCCTGAGATCAAATCACCACCAATGGTGTTAATGAGGTTAATAAGAAATGTCCAATAGCCAAAACGTGCTCAGGATGTCCCCTAAAAACTTTTCTGAGCTCATGCCTGCAGGCTGGGTTCAGCACATCTTTCCATCCTTTTCATGCAGCAGGTGACGCGACTCTCCGTCCGTCTGACAGAGCCGGCCGTTTGATGTGGGCTTCCTTCCTGCATGTCGTCCTCTGATCACTGTTCTTTAAAGCTTTAGTCTGATAATGTGTCAGAGGGTGGAGAAAGAAAGGACGACAACCCTGCTTTTGAAGATTAAAGGAAGCTTTGCAAGTTCTCTTGCAGCCGATTTTCATCTCTTTCTATCGGTTTCTGTTCCTCTTATGAACAGGGAAAAGTTTACGGCTGTGACCTGGTTCAGCTTTAGCTTGCTTAAAGTACCTGATGCTTAACAGACAGACTGAAACTGCACTTTGAGCTTTGTTAATGTTATTACACATCCTCTGAATAGGAGAATATGGCGTGCAGTTGTCGTGTCCATGGCCATTTATTCATTGCTTTGCAGAGTATTTGTTGATGAATGTTGACATGTTGCATCTTTCACAAAATTTCTTAAGGTCTAAAACATTAAGGAGCCCTGGCCACCAGACTCACCTCAGTGGAAACTTCTGGATTTGTTTCTTGTCGTGGACGCTGTTTTCTCTGCACTGGTGAGGTTTTACACGTGTGAAACCACAACGAGCGTAAACAGTTTTACAGGCCTCTTCTTGATAATTGCGGCCAAATTGCAAAAATATTTTTAGGCTACAGGGTAAATATTTGTTGCTACACCACAAATGGCTGCTGGAAGCAGTGACTCTGAATGTCGTCGAGGCATCCAGCTCCCGTAAAACACCGACGCTCTACAAACTCCAGCTTTAGGGAACGTTTTCATGTAAGAACGTTCTTTTTATCCAAATGTAAACTAAGTTACAGTAACGTGCAAAGGTTTTGAGCCACCCCTCATTTTTTAATATGTTGCAAACAAAATGGGAAGTAGATGCAACGATTTATTGAAAGACATGCAGACAAACACAGAAATCGAGTGTTTTGTACACCTCTGAAGAGCTTGGAAGTCTGAACTCTCTTAGGAAACCTTCTGTAGTTTCTTCTCTTGGTGTTCAGGAAGGCTTCTCCAGGGCTTTCGAAGGACATTCAAAGCTCGTCTTTGTTTCATTCTCTGCATCAATAATGTTGAGTTTCGGGCTCTGGGGAGGCCAATCCATGACTGATGGTTTCTGTCCATTTATGCTTTTACTGCATTGCCAATCAGACACTTATCTTTGCTGCATTTCTTGTTTCTTGTCCAAATAAGAACTTTGAAAGACCTTCAGAAAGCTGGAGAACTATTGTTCAAGAGGACTTAAAAAAGACAAGTCTGGCTCATTTGAATCAAAATATAAAGTAATGAGGGATGGTTCAAGACTTTAATCATTTATTCATTATTTACTACAGTTATTATTAACTTTAACCACCTGCGGACTGATATCTATGTGACTGAGCAAAACGTTGTGATAGCTAGCTAACGTCGGCTTGTTGTTCTCTTCATTGTGACCTAAAACCAGCGATTAATCCACCAGGAAAGTATTTACTGAGGTTGGGGGAAGGTTTAAGGAGCTTTTACGGTGGCTTTTCTAATCAGACTCAGGACCCAGATCCATCCATTATAATGTAAACAGTGAGAAACAGCCGCTAACGTCAGGTTAGTCACAAACTAAAGACCAGCTCTCAGCACACCCATGTGTCTTCACAGAGGATTTAGATAGCTATGATTGGCCACAGCATGGATAGGTTTGTGATGTTCCTCAGCTCTTGTGTGGTTGGTGTCTGAATACTGACTGTGGTTCACTTTACAGCCACAGTTGTCATCAATACTGTTTTTTTACGCGGGCTCGTCTGCCACCTCACTACCTCTCTAAGTGACGTGTTGGAAACAGATGGAGGTTCTTACAGTTCTTCAGCTCGTAATTGATCGCAGCTTTGAGGTTAAAGGCTTCGATCAGGGCCGACTGATGCAGGACCAGCGTGTTTCCCACGCTGTGGATGTCGATGCCTTCGGTCGTCATCCCGACACTCAGCTCTGGTACGCAGAAAAAAAACACAACCCTCATACTGATCAAAAACATGATTTAAAAATAATAAATATCTAAAAGAGGACAAATCACAGCTATTTTTACCTGGATGTTCCTTGATTCCACGTTCTATGATCTCTCCAATACACTTGAGGGCCTGATTGTGGTTCTTCAGGCTGTAATAAGTCAGGGCGATGTTGTAGGACAACGCTGAAAATAAGAGAAAAAAATGACACAAAAACCCAGAGGTGCACTTGTCGTGTACAATCATTTTATCTTAATCAATTTTATTTAAATTTAGGATGAATTCATCCCTCCCTGAGCCTGGTTCTGCTGGAGGTTTCTTCCTGTTAAAAGGGAGTTTTTCCTTCCCACTGTCGCCAAAGTGCTGCTCATAGGGGGTCATATGATTGTTGGGTTTTTCTCTGTATCTATGAAGCGCCTTGAGGCGACTTTTGTTGTGATTTGGCGCTATATAAATAAAATTGAAGTGAATTGAACAGAAATAGAAACTCATCTCATCTGTATATGTTTTTGGTTAACCTGAAAAATAAACCCTTTCCACTGTAAAAAGTAGTGCGGAGTTGATTACAAAAACCCCACAGACAGCTGATATTCTCCCACAGACTGTGGATTCTCCCAACGCCACCAACTATAAGAAATGAAGGACTTAGCTTATTTCTACAAGAGGAGCTGTTTGGGTCAACATTGCTTTTTTATAGAGATGGAGCAGATGAAGATGTTACTGGACCGTCCTTCCAGCGGTTAGACAGACGGGTGAATATTTTTGGGTTTCCAGAAACACTCCAGTGACAGTAAATAAATTGTATTTTGATTTCAGGTCAGTGCATAGAGAACAGCTTACTGAATGTTTTTAACTGATCACCTGGCACGTATCCCAGCACTTGCATGGCGGACATGAACTTCCTGCAGGCCTCCTCATACTTGCCGTCCTGGTAAAGCAAACAGCCCATATTGTAGACGTAGTCCGGGTCGTCCGGCGGCAGCTGCTCCAACAGCGACTACAAAAACACAGCAGAAAGTAACGCTAATGAAGGCGTGTCTGGCTGTGCATAATAAGGATTAATCTGATGCTATACTGAACAGAAATGGTATCGTGTTAACAGATGACGTGTTAAAGCTCCTCACCTTGGCAGCGGAATAATCTTCCTCACAATATTTAATGCAGGCCTGCAGCTTGACCATCTGTGCCAGAGAGAGACAATAAACCGAAGGTAAAACAGGGACACGGCAACAGCAGCCAAGTGCTAATTTTAATATGGGGCCAAAAAAAAAGAGCCAGTACAAAGTGTAATCTGTAATGCTGTCATCCATAACCATTTTTATGAGCTTCTTTTCCCACATTTGGACCTTTTCTCCAAAACCTCTGAACTTTTCTTCTTCACAAGGACAAAACAAGCTGAACCCTCTGAACCCCAGAAAGCCTCTAGATGATACTTTACTCTGGTCTAATTTTTACAACAGCACATTAGCTCCACTGAAGGTATAATGTCACAAACCGGCCACAGGCAGGTATAAAGGAAGGGAGGATAGAGTGGGTCATCAGAATAAAAATAATTCACATAACAGGACAGCAAAAGGTTTAGTTGTAAATTTGTAAATTTACAAGAGAAATTTAACCCAGTTACAGTTAATGTATGAAAATTTGTCACCAGCTTTCATCAGAAATGTTTCCATTTTTTTCTTGTAGGTTTTAGTTTTTTATAAATAGGAGATCAGGAGATTTTTTCTTGCAAATTTACAAATTTAAACTTGAAATTTCTGTGTCTGTAAAATATATTTGGGAGTATTTGTGCGAATAAAAAAACAGATTCATCCCAAACAAACGGCTGAATTGTCGTAACATGACTACGGCTCCTAGCCGACTCGTCTTAGCTTCTCAGGACTGTTTAGCGAAAACAATGTATTTTTGCTTTAAAAGTGACATGCTGACTAAATTAATTTTCATAAAATGCCACATTAGTAGGCATAAATTATAGATTAGCCTTCATTCTCTGCTTTGGCAGAAGTTTGTCTTGGACAAGTCAGAGAGACGCGCCACATAAAACAGCGTTTATGATGCTGTTTTAAACTCATACACACAAACACACACTCGTAGCTCGACTTATTATCATTCAATGATTTATAATGATGCTAAAGAAAATTCGCACTGATTAACTTACAAGTTTTCACCCTGCACCTTTTCAACAGCGTATTAGAGCCACTGAAGGTACAATCAGGGCGTCGACTCTTGTGATTTATATCTTTGCTGATTTTCAGAACCTGCTTTATCACTGACGCTTCAAATATCTCCTGGAGGAAGATGGAGGGAGCATGCTAACTATCTCTTTAGACCAAATTTTGAATTTGATTTAATTAGATGTCAATTTTCCCTCAATTAGACCTTTGGAAAGCTAAAAATCTATGATGGAATAGCCAAGGAGGTCATGTTTTTGGTAGCATTTCCATGCGTCTGTAAACACGATAGCTTTTGAATAAATTCTAATAAAACTTTGTACGGGTGTAAAGTGGAGTCATGTTAACAATCCATTAAAATTTGGCTTACACCCACTGAGGTTGTCAAGGTCAACTTCATGATTTATTGGTCTAATATCTAATAATATCATCTGACCTCTGACCTTTTCTTCAAGGTTAAAAGTTTGATCCCAAAGTCAAAGTGCTTCCATGTTTCTCATTGCCATTGTTCATACTGACAACAGAAAGACATTTGTGGGGATTCTAAATATCACGTTACTTTGGACCTCTGACCTCATTTTCATGGTCAAACTTGTCAAATCTCTTTTATGTTCAGAATTATGCTTAAAATTCTACTTCCTTTGTTTGTATTGGTAACATTTAGGAAATGATTCTGGTGTACGGGGATTCTAAATATCACATTAGAGTTTGCATCCAAATATCATGTCACAGCTACTCTGACTCACTTTTACATTTCACATCTGCGTTTCTTTCAAATTGACCCCAAACGCGATATATCTTTAAATAAAGTATTGTCAGGAGAAAGAGAATGAGCTGTTAGGAACACAGAGTTATATTACTGTAGTAATATTACACAATCTGTACCTATAATTCATTACCAAGTCCTTTTGTGTAATCAAAGTAAACGTCTTTCCTGATACCTGTATCTAGTTTTTACTGCACTACAAACTTCCTAAAGTCTTTAAGTTCTTAAAGTAGATTTAAAAGAACAAAGAATACAAAATGTATCTTCAGAGTAAATATTACCCAGAGAGTGAGCTGCCTTGACGCAGGTTTGTGCGCTCCGAGTGCTTCTTGTTGCATCTGTTTTTACACCTTCTGGCTCTGATGGATGGTGTTATTTTTGAAAAAATATGACACTTTTCCTGGTTTAGGGGTTCAGAGGGTTGACACCGATGCACAGGCCGCCTTGTTGTAACTTTGATAAAAAGTGTGGCCCTTGCTGCTGAATTACAAACATTTTTGTTTGCCTTTGTTCATTTATTGTGCATTTATGGGCCATATGCAGTCGCTAGAACACGTCTGGTGAACAAATGCTCCTCGTGATGGAGATCGTCTAACAGATGGTGTTAAAAAAATTCTGTACAAATAAAGTGGAATTGTTCATAAACGGACAAATTTGATGCAATGCTGAAACACCTGGACCACAACACTTCCAGCTCTTTGTTTATTTATTTAAATGACACACACATGCACACACAGCTGGGCTCAGTGTGTGTGTGTGTGTTGTACCTTGGTTTGGCTGCTGGGGTTGTCGAGTGCAAATGAAGCCTTGGTGGCCTCGGGATAAGCACCAGCTTTGTACAGGGACTGGGCGTAGTACACTTTGTACTCCTCCACCTCCGGGTGCAGCTGCGTGAGCTGCTCGTAGCACTCGGCGGCGTTGGTGAAGTCCTGGATGTGATAGTAGCAGAAACCAAGCAGAGACAGCGCCGCCCTGGACTGAGACACAGGTGAAAGGAAGAGAGAGTGACCAGCTGAGGCACATCTGTAGAGAAAAACACACAGCTCACCTGAGGATGTCTGAGCACAAAATGCAGACATCTTCAGCCCACCAGGGTTCCTGCTGCATTTTAAGATTTTCTTTCTGTATTTTAAAAACCGTTTCCTTTTTAAGATCTCAATAAATAAAAATTAAGAAAGAACAAAGCTGAAAACAATGTCTTGCAGCAGTGCAGTAATCCCTACAACTGAAAGTGTGCCAGATTTACTGAGGTGCAATATGCAAAAATGCACTTACAATGTGCTCATTTAAAAAGAAAGATGTAGCCAGTTTATTTCAGTCATAATCAAAGTAACGTACTGAGAGCAGAGCAAATTAGAAGTGAAAAAAATGAGTGACTCCGATGAGGGAGCGAATAATTTACTACCCAAAGTAATATAGTTTCATCACAGTAACAGTGAAGCAATTCAGATCAATGACAAGACACTATAATAAAATTAATCTTATGGATCCAATGAAGAAGTCTTGAAAATGAGCCCCATTAATTGCTGTATTCGGACAAACATGTATGTAATAGCTTTCCACACCAAAAAAATGGAACAAACAAACAAGAAAATCAAGTTGTAATGTTTCAGAGCTCTCTGTGTGCACTGTTGAGTAGAGACAGGAAGAGAGAGAGGATTACTGTTTCTTTAAGTCTTATATCGCGGGTTGCATAGCTCCTTTCCCCCCTTGAAGATTGGCAGACTTACCTTGGTGTGTTTTTGGAGCTGGCCGTTCAGGATGTGAATGGCATCCACATACTGACCATCTTTAATCTACAACGCAGACACATATTTATTGGGAAAAGCTTGAGTACGTAGACTGATTAACACTCGCTCTCTTTATCCAATCACTTGTAGTAAACTACAAGGACTGGAGCGATAAGAACTTCAAAGATTAACCACCGGTACAAACCTACAAACACTGCAGTTTACATTTTCTCTATGTTTGTTATAAGTTTAAACTTAAGCCGAATTTACGGAAAGTGCATCTCAATTCCAGAAAAATATAATTCGTCTTGGATAAGTACTTCATTAAGAATGAAACACTAAAATAAACGATTTGTGAATGGAGTTTGGTTCACGCTGTGTAGCTGCTAGCTCAACAAGCTAAGAACCCTAACTAATTGGCGTATTCTCACCAGTTTGTAGATCGTAGCCGTGTACTCTCCGTCTTTTATAGCAGTCATTGCTTCAAATCTGCACTCTCATCAAACAGACACTACTTGTGGCTTCGGGTTTTCCCATAATCTGGGTCGTAGCATTTAGCTAGCTTCTGCTTGGCGAAGCACGGAGAGCATAGGAGCTGTTACTTAGCAACGGAGGAGAGCGGAAAGGGACCTTTGCCTGGCGTGTGTAACAGCCAATCACCTTACAGTTTGAACGTATTTTTTTTTCTAGAACCTTTATTTACTTGTTGGACAAAGACAATCACCGTCCCGTAGAAAATATAAAACTTTCCTACTGTCTTTAAGTTTATTTCTTTCTTTCTGTGGCATTTTTATAGTGTTTAAATTAATTTGCAGCTTCCCCCTTTGGTTTGACAAAGAATGTCTTATATTAAGTGTCCTTCTAGTTTCTAGTTGTACTGGTTTTGCTTTAGCTTGTCTCGTATATTGCGTCGCCTTTTGGCAGTTTTACAAATCGTTAGTAGTTTTGAGCCTCGTTGTGGTCTTTAGTGTGAATTTGCAGTCATTGTCTTCCCGCTTGCATTGGTTTTGCATGTGTTTTTATTTGTGTGTTTTTATTTATTTACTTTCTTCTCTTTATGAATTTCTTTAAATCTCTTTTAAAGAATTTTGAGTGTCTTTGTTCTTTGTTTAACTTTTGTTTTATAACTTTTTAAAAAAAAAAAAATTTGCTTCTCTTTTAAATTTTCTGTCTATCTGTTGGTGTTTTGTGTCTCTTTGTGATTGTTTGATTTACTTATCAGCAAGAAATACTGACAATCATCACTGACCAGGGATCTCTGTTCCTTTGTGCTCCTGGGCCTGTGCTTTGTAGGGCTGTTCTTCTACACGTTTATAACTTAATGTCTCTAGTTTTGTCTCTCTTAAAGTCTCTCTGTTTTTCTCTTTCCTTCTTATCCTTCAGCAAAGCACAAGCACAGCCTGGTAAAATCCACAGATGATCTCATATCTGAAGGATTCAGGAGAAGGAAATATACTCACCAAACAGTGGCTAAAACAGATAAAACCTGGAGTATCGCCTCAAACCCAAACCACAGTGTGCTGACCACCGGGCCTCCATAATGACGGAGGAAAGGTTTGATGCTGAGTGTGTGTGAGAGAGTTTCAGAACGTGAAGTGGTTTTTTTTTAGTGTTTATATGCATGTGCATGCATGCTTGTGTGTAGGAGGGGTGTGTTTTATGCTTGCGTTCTCTCCTTCTGGTACTTTCTGCACTTCTTGCATGCCTGTCACTCACTTCTGTTGGGACGAGTGAAAAGATCTGCAGCAGAGGAGCTGCAAAACAACAGGTACATATTAACATTAGCAGGTATGTGAAATATCCATCATTAACTCACATTTATTTTATAGCAGGCTGGTTCAGAAAAGGGAGAGAAGCACTATCAGAGGGCTCTGTTTTTTTAACTGTATTATTTTTACATTTTCTTTATATTTTCTTCTTGTTTTGCGTTATTTTGTTAAAAACTGTTGCATTGCTACTTTGCTTTGCAAGAAAACACTTATTGTATTCGTGCTGCATGAAAGCTCGAGCTCCATAAGTCTAATGCATACTTGAGATGCACCTGAATGAGGTTCTTTATTAATGCAGAGCATGTACATGAATCTGGCATCTGCCGTTGTAATATTGAAAAACTCTTGGGAATGTTTCCATGTGACTTTCTTCACCGCGAGGCCAAACTTATTTCATGGTTCCCAGATTGAGACTGGTTGGAGCTGATGAGATTTTGGTGGCTTAAAATGATGTTGAGGAGAAAAACTGCAGCAGAGACGAAGGCAAAAAGATGTGTTTGTTTGTGTGTGTGGTTCTCTTCTTTGGATCCTGTGGGAGTGTGTATACTTTCACTACGGGTGGTCAAGTGTGTTCCATTGGTTTAAGGATATGTTTGAGTCCTAAGTAAGTGATGGGTTTGCAGGAAAATAATCTGGTAGACCTTCAGAGAAAATCAAGGTAACTTAAGGAACTGTTGTACTGAAGGCACTCAGTCTGTGTGGCTATGATTAGGCAGCTCAAAGATGGAGAAAGACGGGGTCATAGTTAATAAAAACATTGGTTACATAAGAGTTTATTTAAAGGTGCAGTTCCTCTTGTGATCGCTGTGCAAATACAAAAATCAATAAAGGTTTTGGAAAGCATATTTTGGCATCGCTCAACACCAGGCCATTAATCATGAGTCCTGCTGGTGATTTTTATGATTATGTATAATATGTGCACAGTATGCTGCCTTTATTTGGAGTTTGTGTGGAGTTACTCCAGGGCCTCTGTTTTCCTTCGACAGTCCAAAAACGAGTGATTTTAAACTGGCTGGGTAGTTAGATAGATAGTGGAAACTCCCCAGGATGCTATGTTTATGAATGATTCAAAAGAGACTCAAATGATAAGTACAGACATGTATTCTAAAAAGACGACTACAGCTGTAAAACAAAAAACTTTCCTTCTCAGAGAGAGCCAATGGAAAACATCGCTGGTTGAAATGAACCAGAATTATCCCTGAAATGGCTTCAAACCCCGTCCGCTTCACTTTGAGCTTAACGGCAGGTTTATTTCTGTTTAAACACACGTGTGCAGGAAGGCCGGCTGTATAGTCTGCTGCTGCCTCTGTGTATTTTTGCAGGCATGTGCGGAACAAACACAAAGCGGCTGAGGTCGACTGCACTCGGCGTGCCTCTGCAGCTCTCCTCTAAGTCGCTCTGTCAGGTCTGGTTTGTGCATCGGCGCTCTGGCTCGGGCTCGGACTCGCTCTTTAATGCGAGCTGACTGCAGGAGCTGAGAGTTTATCGCTTCTTCCTGTGTTCCACTCCTGACAAGCCTGGAAGACTTAGAAGTTTGTACACCCAGTAGTTAGATTCTCTTTCTCTGCTTTATTAGGATTGATAGCCACGGTGGTAGTAAAGCCACGCGAGGCCTTACACAGTGCTGAGGAATAATCAAATCTCTAGAGCAAACTCGCTTCGGCCGTACAGAGCAATGTTTCCAGACAGATATTGTGCAGTTCAGCAGGAGGCAATCTGCATTTCATAAAGCTGAGCACAAAGAAGCAGCTTGAATATACGATTCAATTATTTTAATGTCATGCAAACAACCAAACTTATCGACATGTCTGAGTCGTTTGGGTGTGATGCTGAGCCGTTGGTGGTTTGCTGGTGATTCAATTAAATTGCTAGAGTGCCTTCGTTAAACCATTGTTGCCAATTATTTCTAAATGAATCAATCACCCAGTCAAATAATCAATATTCACACAGCAAAATTATTTAAAGTGCTCAATAAAAAAATGAGGCGTCAAAAGAAAAGCTGCGTCTGCATGTAAAGCCAGCAAATAAGCAAAGCAGAGCAGAATAAACAAGGATTAAAAGAGACAAGAGGGACACATGTCAACATTTAAATGATTTAAATAAGACAAAGAAACACAAGGGGAAGATTTGAAAGGACCATGCAGCTTTGCATGAGTCACAGTTCAAAATAATCCTTCTTTATCTCATACTGGGGCTCCTCCACCTTTAGCACAGCTTTCTTCTGATTAGCTGCCCCTCATCAACAGAATGTGGGCGGGGCTTCTGTTCTGAGGTAGAGCTGCGGTGGTTATCCTGTTCACACCTGTTCATTTGTACAGTTGTAATCGCAGTAATCGCACTTGGGTGCGGAGCAAAGCAACTGCACCGAAATGCTTTGGAGGAGATGATTCATTTACCGTGTGGAAGTGATCTGACTTCTGACTCCGAGCAGGAGTACGTTGCAATTTTGAGCAAAATAAATAAATAAATAAATAAGTAGCAGTGTATGCTTTGTATTCTGGTGTACAGTGAGGTGAAAGGTCTGCAACTATCCGTGAAATGAACGTTAATTCTCTGTTCTCCACCATTTGAGAGTGCAGCATCTTCTTCCTGTATTTACTTTTGTTGCTCCCGCCTCAAACGCATCTGGCCAATCAGCAGACTGAAGATTCTTACGTGGTTTGTACTGATTCCTTTTGGCTCGTTTGGAGTTCGCTCGGATTTTTCTGTGTGAAAAGAAATCAAATCACGGAAAACTACAAGTTTACAAACTTGTCAGCTGATTCAGACCAGAGTAAACGAACTATAGGAGTAAACAAACAAACAAACAAACAAACAAAAAACAAACAAAACCCTCTAAGGCAATATACAGGGGTCAAAGTAGGTGGTACCTCTCTGAAAGTGAATGTTTAGAGGATACTGAATCCTCTATTTGAGCAGTGTATTTATATGTTAGGAACTAATGAAAAGTAATGCAACAGTTTATTCTAGAGGAACAGAGTGGCATTTAAAGCTTTATAGCAACAGAGAGCAGCTGGGACAAGTCGCCAATCTGTCACAGGGCCAACTCAGAGAGACAGGTAATCATTCACACTCTTATTCACACTAACAGCTAGCTTAGAACCACCAGTTAACCCTAACAAGGATGTCTTTGGACTGGGCAGGAACCATAAAAAGCATAATTTCCTCTGGGATCAATAAAGTATTCTGATTCTGAAAGTGTGCAGGCAACAACAACAACGCCACAGAGAAAGGCTCCAGTCAGTTAATGATAAACAGTAACTTTTCATATGTCTACATATCTGTAGAAAAAAACATGCTAGAGAAAAACATAATCAGGGCAAAGTCAGGGTTACGTGATCCAGCTCTAACTGTATGCTTTATCAAAAAAGTTCAATCTTAAAAGTCTGTCTGCTGGACCCAAACGTTTAAAGTTTATATGTAAATAAACTTTTTACAAGAGCAAAAGTCACAAAATGTTTTATGAGATTGAAAAAAAGGTTAAAAAACTAAAAGTGTTTTTCTGGACGTGTAATAACAGCAACCTCAAACGCACGTCTCCTTTTGTCCTTAACCAGCACTGATCAGCTGACCTCAGAGATCCAGTTCTTATTTATGGCTGAAGTTCTGGTCATCAATAACTCTGTGTGATCACCAGATTTTTAAATTGAACCCTAAACTTTTTGTAGAGCCGTTGTAAAGAGCACAGTGTCACAGTGGGACCTCTGAGAGGACCTGTGAGGAGCCTCGCAGTCGCTTCCTACACTGTTTATAAGAGAGGATGTGCTCAGGCAGAGGACTGATGAATAACTGAGGTGTTCAACAGATGATAAAAACAAGTTCGCACAAGACAACCAGCATGTTTATCAGAACTGTGTGATCAGACATTTCACCCAGCTGGAGGCTCTGGCTGCAGTTCAGCTTAGTGCTCTGTTAGGATAAGACAACGAGGTGTTTAAGAGCAACGGGGCCTGATTATTCGAGACGCTGTGTTGGAGAAGGACTTTAAATTC